GCTTGACTTGCCAGGTTCGGAGCCACCTCTGTATTGAAAAACACAGCGTTTCATGCGTCCGCTATCTCTCGAAGATGCATGTTGTACGAGACTTCCTTCCGAAGTGCATGTTGAACACCTGCAAAACGAAGCCATTCTGCAAGACTTCCTTCCAAAATGCTCCGCAGAGCTTGACTTGCCAGGTTCCGAGCCACTTTGCATTGAAAAACACAGCGTTTCGTGCGTCCGCTATCTCTCGAAAACGCACGTTGTACGAGACTTCCTTCCAAAGTGCATGTTGAACACCTGCAAAACAAAGCCATTCTGCGAGACTTCCTTCCAAAATGCATGTTGAAGAGCTGACTGGAACTAGAGCTAACTAGAGCTACAGTAGAGCTGTTGAAAAATGCATTTTGTACGAGACCTCCTTCCAAAATGCATGTTGAAGAGCTAACTGGAACTAGGGCTGACTAGAGCTAGAGCTGTTGAAAAAAGCATTTTGTACGAGACCTCCTTCCAAAATGCACGTTGAAGAGCTGACTGGAACTAGAGCTAACTAGACCTATATAGAGCTTTTGAAAGTCCGTAACACGGAAGTTCGGCACCCTAAACTTCCTTTGACTACCACCACAGCGCAACCACAACCGCGACTACCAGTACTATGACTACCACCACTACGGCTGCCACAAGGACACCAAAATCATCCTGCCACTCATCACTGAGATCTTTTGCACACTGTTTGGGGTCTCCTGCCGGGACAATATGAGCATCGTTCAAAACATTTCAAAACCTAGGTGTTCATATTTAGTAAGGACATGGTCATAAGGATACTGTGCGTAAGCCAAAACCTGATTTGCGTTAGGTTGATAGCACTTGCCTAAGCTAAATGCGTAAGCTTGGCTTCTCCATGTATTTCATTGCTTTTGCACTTCATCCTCAAGATGACAGTTCATCTGCTTCATCCTCGTCGTTGTCTTCAACAACTGATGGTTCATCCGGTGACGGTTGATGTTGGCGCTAAGTAGAAGATGCAAAAAGTCAAGTCTAAGCGCGTAAGCTCATGTTGTGGTGTGGTGGAGAAAGTTGGTCCGTATCTGTTTGCGTAAGCTCCGCGTAAGCACTTCATGTCCCCTGCATGGCGCGTAAGCTGAAATGTGAATCGCGTAAGGAAATCTCAGGCGTGTGCGTAAGCACCTCCTTACGACCCTTCGCTCCAAACATGGTTTAGAACGACGCTCATATGGGGTCAGGTTGCAAAACGGCGGCCCTCAAAGACAAGAAACATAGAGTGGTTGAAGAAGCAGGTGAGCAGTTCAGTTTTGGAACAATTGGAAGAGCGAAGATTTGCTACGAGATTCAGGGTGTAGAAGGTATAGGGCCAGACACAGAAACATCAAACCAAACAGAGAATGACTTGACATAGAAAAGTCGGCGAGAAAAAAGTTACAAACAACGTAGTGCGTGTGTGTGTACCCCTTGCAATCACAGGGATCCACTTGGAATGTTAAATGGCCTTCTTTTCTTTTTCAGCATGTGCTGTGAGCGATGGTCCAACGAAGCGGCCACAGCACATGCGGATATCTGGCCTGATCAGCCAGACGTACCTGCAGTTTTACCTGAGACCAGGTCATTTCTCTTCGCCCTGATTGGGGCAACTTTTTCACGACCGGCGCTGAGTTACACCTTTTTTCCCATGATAGTCTTTTCGTCTCAACAGCTGGCTGCCAATCGTTTTGGGGAGCCACCAGAGGTTGATGCTTGGCCAGTGGTTGTTACATTAGGAACTCGGTAAGCACACACTTGGTTAGAGTGAATCCGTCCGCTCCGAGGGAGGGATAAGGATTTGGGCTTGCTCCGCACAATGCCATGTCTGCTCGCCGCTCGTCGCGTCGTGATGCTGGTGGCAGCAGCGGCGTGCCGTGAAATCCTTGAGCTGGCAACGCACTTGGAGGCGCTCCAGGCTTTCCGAGTTGCTGTTGAAGCCATCTCCCATGGGGAGCCACCAGAGGTTGATGCTTGGCCAGTGGTTGTTACATTTAGGAACTCTTTTGTTGCCGTGTCTCGTCGATCACTTGCTGACCCTTGCGGTTTGTTCGGCGTCGAAAGGTGCTGTCCCCTCTGACTGGCTTCCAGATGGGCGCCGTCCGTCTTGGATTGGTTTGGCTGAGGGGGCCGTCCCTCACGCCTCTGCCTCCTGCCCTTACTGCCTCTGCGGTTCTGTGGTTGGGTTGCTCTTCGCTATGGTGGTTTCAATGATTTTCTCGCCGATTGCTGCGGTTTATGCTGCTTCTGTGTTGTTTTGTTGGGCTCCCTTTGTCTTTCCTGTTTGTTTTTCTCTCCTCTCGTGGTAGCAGGTGTTCGCGCATAATGGGCACACCTGCGCGTAGCTCTCCTGCCAGGACTAACCCTTAAAACGACCGAAAAGGAGAATCACAGCGGTACGAAGACCCGAACAAGAACATGAGAGACAGAGAGACCACAGGGAAGTACGAACGAACCTGTTCCAAATGTTCAGGAAAACACAAGATCCTTGTGGGAGGGGGGGGGGGGGAGCACAGCCAACAAACAGGAGGACCCGGAGAAGGCAATGCAAAAGAAACAGGGGCGAGCTGAGGACGGCCCCCTCGGAGACCAGGCTTGGGAGACGGTCCTCCCAAGCAGCAAGGGACGGCCCCCTGGGTAACAGCATCCAGGGAACAAAAAGGGAAGCAGACCAGCAGTGAACCAGAAGAATCGGATGAAACAGCATGTCGGGTGGGAAGACCAACGGAGAAAGAACGACAACTGAACAACTAAGAACCGGACCAGTCCTGACTTCTGCTCGCAAACGGGGAGGCGCGTCGCGCGAGCCATGGCCGTCGCGGGGACCCTTGGGGCTCCGGAGACGACTGGATCCCTTGCCACCCGATTTCCCTTTAGCGGTGGGATCTGGCAAATCAAGCTCCGAGAGAACAGACCGCTGGCATCCACGATTGCAACTGGGCAGGGCGTAAACCAATATCGGATTCTTTCCCAAAAAAGTGACGCAGCGAAGCAGACAACATGGTCTGGCGAGCCTGAGTGCGGTTTCCGAAGGACGGAGCACCAAAATTGAGAGGCCACGGTTTGTCGTCGAACCTGCCCCCTTGAGGGAGTTCCTCTTTGGGGAGCTTGGCGTTTCGGGTCCAAGTCGTCCACAAGGTGTTGAGCTCAGTTTTGGCGTCTCCCTTGATGAGCAAAACCAGGGAACGGCGGGACGTGTCTGCCGACTGGCGATGTGCCGACCTGCAAAGCCAATTTATACGCTTTGTGCACTTGCCGCTCCACACGGTCCAAATCAGAGGCCTTAGCATTCTTTGACTTCGGGTCTGCAGACGGCAGTAGACATAGACTGGACGAGACAGCAGGAGCGAGCACGCGGGGCCAAAACAGCTATGGTGCATACACATGGTGTCGGAGCCGGTGGAGCGAAAAAGCGTGTGCGTACACATTCCCTCCTCTCCCCGTCTTCCAGCTCTGCTGACAGTTTTGGGGTGGGGCTGAGCTGTGGGTGCTGGGGCGCCGTTGCACTGTTAGTCCTGCTTACCCGGTCAGCTGACGTCCAGGCACGTTCGACGTGCTTGCTTACTTTTGTGTTTCATTCTGATTGGTTATTCTTTTTTACGTGGTTTGCAGGAGTGTACATGCCCGTATCGGACCGTATCGGGCAATATCCTACTACCACGAGAATATCCGGGCCTGCGTGTCCAGGTAGTGCACATCGTTTTTGATGTTACTGCTACCTTGGTTGGCAAACAGGTGCACGTGGCCACAAAAAGAGCAATGAAAGGTTTGGAGTGAGGCTGCAAAATGGCAGAACTGCCACCATGACACTACTCCCACCGCCGCCAAATATCCACATTTTGCCTCCGTTCGCCATCACGGCTGAATGGTACCAGCGTGCTGCAGGCGCGCTGCCACTCAGTGATGGATATGTCCATGTCCCAGTCTGGCAGCTCAAGAAGTATATACTTCGCAGCACAGCACATGGTTCTGACATGACCAACTTCTTGGCAACTGCAAGCGCACACCACGTAGGTCTTATCAAGTCTTTACATGAACAAAGTAGCTGGGGCCTCGTCTTTGAGCATGAGCCATTGATTCGTTGATTTGAGGTGTTGACCCAAGGTTGGGAGACATGCTGACTCTTTGATTTGGATAAAGGCAACCAACTTGCCAGAAAGCAAGGCCTATAGAAATCAATGCCTAAACCAGCCAGCTTGTAATGACAATATCTAATATGTTTCCCTCTGATGAAACAGGTTGATGCCAAAAACATGCGGCAAAGCAACAGGAATAGTAAGGACGGATCGGAAGTGAAAACAACAAATTCGGGAGACAACTTCCAGCCTGCGTGTCCAGGCAATACAAATCGGCTAATTTACCTTGCGTGAGTTGATTGTCGGTAAAGCAAATTCATGCGAATGCACTAAAGTTGTGAACACTATTCTTATTCTGAATCCAAACAGGTAGCTAGAGCCATCAAATACCCACATTTTGCCATCAGTATTCATCGCAGCCGAATGCCCGTAGCGAGCTGAAGGTGCACTGCCGCTTACTGACGGTGATGTCCAAGTGGGCTCAGCCTGACCAAAGTTTCATAGCCATGGCCTCAAGCCTAAGAGATATGGCCTCCATAATGTTAAGTTTCCCTCAAAATCCACGAGCCAACAAGCGCTTCTTCAAGGAAGCTCCCTTGAAGAAGCATGAGCTATCCTGCGTCCTAGGTAGTAGCTTGAGTAGCTACCTCTCCCGTACTTAATTAAGTACGCACCTTTGTAATTAAGTAGGCAGTGGGGGGGAGGGAGCTAAAAAAAGAAGAAGCCGGAACAACCTTTTGAAGACATGTCCGCCGCAACTCACGACAGGACGTCGTGTAGCCTGCGTTGTGCTTGAAGTGCTTGAACTTGTGGTGCTTGTGCTGCTCGAGGTTGTGGTGCTTGTGCCTCATTCCATTCGTGTTGAGGCGGTGTCGAGACGAGACACCCCGCAAGCAAAGTTGCATGCAGACGCAACTCGCATCAATTCGCACATGCATTTCAATTTGCAAATCCTTTCTTGAGGGATTTTCCTTGCCCACACTCTCATTCCTGACAGGCGCAAGTCCAAGTGCACTTCACTGCGGAAGAGCACCCGGAGCTCCGTTGCAAAAGCTGGGTTCTATGGATGAGTCTTCTTTAGAACTCTAAGTTATCAAGCAATGCAAGTCATTACCTCTAGTCTGCTCAATGCCATAAGGTCACCTGCAGCGTAAGCAGTGCATCATGATCATGCTGTGACCCTATGATGTTGGTCCCATTCAATGGCCCGCCAAATAGTACACGTTGCAGCACATGAACCAAGTCATTCAGGTACAACAAGAATCAAAAGCAACACATCTTACGCGCGGGCGCTCTCTGCCAACTAGTTTCTCTCAAAAAACGCTGGTGCTTGGAAGCTTCCAAAAAGGTAACGGTAATGTCTGGCCAAGACTCTGGAAGAGGTGGATGTCGCGACGGTCTGATCAGCTGTGAAAGATCAGCGTTGAAAGAACAAACAAGACAGGAAGCCTATGTAATATATTTATGTAAGTCATCATAAGTCTGTTCGATTGTGAGGCCCAAAGGCAAGACCTGTGAAACGCCTAGACTCCTGGTAACCAAAGCGCAGTGCATAAAAGGTTTGTCGAATCGCCTGTGCAATGCCAAGAATCACCAGAAGGAGGACAAACCTGCACGAATGATGTTGCAAGCAAACCAAGTAAGGGGACCAAATGAATGACAAATTTAAATTTTAGGGTTGCTGAAGTATGTGCTGATATAAATGGTACAAATAACATAACCCACAGGTGGTGCGCCTAGCTGCCTAGCTGCATTTACGCTTTACAAAAGACTTCAAATGTATTCAGAACAAAAAATTCGCTCGTTCCAACTGGACATGCTTTTCACCCGCCTCATGGTGTCAGCGCTGCCACGGCTCAAACAAGGAATCTTCTATCTCGGAGCATGCCCAAATCCCGGTAGTCCTCGTGTCTGTATCAGTCCTTCGGCCCCGACTTCTTGGAGCCAAACTTGCGCAAGCCTCATCTATCTTCCAAAGCAAGGGTGCGTGAACACGATTGGACTTGGTTCATGTCCTTTACATCTTTCTGCATAGTCTTCAGCGTTGTTGCTCTGAACAGGTGCGAACTCGAGGCTAGCCCTGCAAATGGCGCTGACATTAACACTATGGGAAATGGTGACTGACTTGGTCGAGTCTCCAAAAAGGTCAAATCCAATGCTGGAAGGTAAAGCTGCAGTTGCCGGGACATCATCTAAATCTCACATTGACAAGTCGTCCTGCTTGTTCGCAGCCTTGAACTGGTGTGCTTGACTTAATCATCTTAATCTGAACCATCAAAACAGCATCCTGGACAAAACCAAACAAGTGCGTGATGTCCTGGTCTTTGAGATCGCTGTAGCAGGAGGCACTTTATTGGTGCGCTCCATGGAAAATCTCACCCTTCAGAATGGGCGGAGCAAAGCACTGCTGCAAAGTTCACTCCTGAGCAGCCACAGACTTGCGGATTGGCATCAAACTTTGAGATGTGTGGAGAACAATGCTTTGATTGTTGAGGAATTAAGGAGCATGTCTGTGGCTGTTTTGACAAACAATCTGGAAGCCCAAAATATATCTCTTTAATTTTGCATGACTTTTCGCTCGACAAAGGCAGAACGGTGAAGGCTAAGGGGAGTTACCAGTATTCGAAGCACGAACCACCCAAAAGAACAAGCAACTGTTGCTGTCAGTTACTGTAACACTTTACCAAAAGCATCCAGAAATGAGAGAAACTCCGCCGAACCACGGAAATCCAATGAAATCTACACGTCAGGAATTCGACCCAGCTCACGTTCGGTCAAGCACAATTTTGAAGCACAATTTTGGCACCCCAAAAGCGCATCCAGTACATGATCCAATAGTGGCTGGTGAAATGCGAGGGGGACTTGACAAGAGATATGGCCACAGGCGTCTGTAAGAAACGCCGAAAGTGTCCTGCAGCCTCACCTTGTGTCTAAGGCTTCCTGCACAGTTGCTATCTTTGGACAAGAATTCGTCTTCATGGCTGAAGCTGAAGTGCCAGAATTTGACAAGGCTTTATTACCGGAAATCAGACCTCAGTGGAAGCACAACGGTGTCACAAGCTTGCATGAGAATGAATGGCCAGTAGTTTAGTCAGGCCTGGATCTTCTTCAGTTCGTCCACAATCTTCTGGTTCATTTCCTGGTGACGTTACAACCATCCTGCTTTCGGAACGCTGTATCCATTGGATTCTTTGCAACAAGGAGTCTTCTACTGCCCTGGGTCCTCGTGCTTCTTGTGCAACTCCTGGCCGACATTTTAAAGGTATATTTTTTTCAGATTGCAAATAACAATGATGCTGCTCGATGCCGCCGACCAATCAAACAAATCACCAAGCATCTATTCGCAACACATTGAATATACATGATATAATATATATATATATGTATAAGATTGTATAAACAATTTTTTAGTGAGGAATACCTGCGTGCGCCACCCATGCAAGAGCCTATTCTTTTCACAATCTGAAACATATGTGTACGTGGGGTGCGGTTTTGTTTGTGGAGTTTTTCGTTGCGTTTGGGGAACCTTTTATGCCGTGGTATCTTGGTTTCTCCGGAAGTGGAAGGCTAGCTGTTTGTAGAAAAAGCTGTTCAGGCCATTTTCTATGTCGATTAGTTCAGGGCGTCTAGCGGCTAGTCTAGCGCGCCTGTGTGCAAAACACAAACTCCGGCCACAGAGCGAACGAAAAAGGAGAAAAGCAAGGGAGTATCGAGAAGGGAGTCATGCACTTGGGTTGTCGAATTCAGAAACAAAACAGAACAACCAGAAGAGCGGAAAACAAACAACAAGGGTAGGAAAAATAAAGAAATCCAGAACTCAAGGCTTGAAAAGCAACAAAAAAACGACGACAACAAAGGTCATAGAAAGCAAACGCAATTACAGTACATAAAAGAGGGAAACAATATGCCACAAGAGGACAAGAAACAGGAAAGTAAAGAAAAGTAGAAGAAAAGTAGAAGAAAAGCCAAGAAAAGCAAGACACGGGCAAAAGAAGCAGGAAATGCAAGAAACGCAGGAGAACTCAAGGGGAAGCAATGAAAAGCAAGGGAAAAGCAAGACGACAAGCGCAAAAAAACGGGAACAGGAAGAAAAGCAGGAGCAGCCGCAAACAAAAGCAAATCCCAAAAGATCACTCAACGCAACAATTAGTTCCCCTCAAAAAACCATAGTTATGTGGGCAAATGCTGCATTATGTACGCTCTTCGTCTTTCTCCATTTACGAAAGCTCCCAACATCATCTTCAGCCTTCATCTTGACGTTATCGCTTACACTGTGGCTCGCCTTCAGCATGTGCTTCGTAGCCGTGCGGGAGCTCCTGACCTCGTCGTCAGAGGGATCAAAGCGGACGAAATACCAGATCCAGCCTCGGAAGTTGGACGAAATCGCTTTGACCAAATGATGGTTTCTGCAATGCTAGCGTCACCAATATGACTTGCGTGGAAATGCTCGGGCACTAGTCTGGAACAACCTTTGCTTTGCTAAGCTGGTTCCAATCACTCAAATGATGCTTGTGATGCGCGCGTGTTTTGGGGCGGCCCCTAAATCAACAAAATCAATTCATGGAGGGCGGGGCACTTATTGAGTATATCATGCAAGGTGGGGGGCCTTGTGTAGTGATAAATCAATTCGATAGTTTGCAACTAATTCCAACACTCCTCTTGTACACGAGAACTTCAGCAAACCTCCTTCAGAGCTTGCTTTCGTGATATACGGGCAATGCTTGAAAGGCGTCAGGATGAGCGTTTACATTTGATGTATTTCCTGACCATAGTAGTTTGAGATGCCACAGAAAAACCCGAAGTAGTTTCAGAGTCGTTCAGGGATCATAGGACAAAGCTGGAGAGCATGACCCATAAATGAAGCACCATGGTTTCTTTAGGTCACAAAGCTTCAGGTCAAGACACATTCGGAAGCAAAATAGCCGTTGAAAACGCCAAAGAACGAAGTGATTTCATGGCGGACAGCTGATGGCCCAACGAAAAGGCTCATAACGATGCTAATCACAAGAATTGAAAGTGCCATTCCCCACTGAAGAGGGAAGCAAAAACATAGGGCCACTAGAATGCCGTAGTTGCTGTGAATTGCTTGGGTCATGTGTTCTCTTGCACCTTGGAAATTGCTCCAAGAAGAGGTCGAACCGGAAGCAGAAAGAACCAAGCAAACCAAGCTTGCCATGAATCATCATGCAGCTCAGCAAAAACTGCTGATCTTCGGCAGAGTGAGCACGACATCTTCAGAAAGGCATAGAACTTCCCCAAAGGTCTCCCCGAAATCTCCAACAGCATCTTGGCCCTTGCGCGATTGAAGAGCTCGGGGGCTCTGTCCTGATACATCTCGAAGTTTTGACTTAAGACGCCAATCAACAAATTCATCAGCAAAATGGTGAAGCATAATCCAACTCTGTAGAATAAGATGTGGACTGGGATATAGTCTTCTCCAGGCACTGGGTCCAGCATCTCCCAAGCTCCTGGCCCCTCTTCCTTCACCCCGATGGATGGATTTATACCTTCCAACTCTTCCATGTCGAAGTCACCAAAGAAACCCAACTTCGCAATAGTCAGAAACGCAGCGTAATGCGGAGATGGTTCGTTCTGCTGTTGTAAGTTGTAATATGCATGCGTCGCGGCTAAGTAGCACACTGCAGTCACTATGAAAAATGCAGTGGTATCTTTTAAGGCCCAAATGATGGGCAAAAACCGTGGGCCCAACCAAGATTCTCCACGCAAACCATAGAGCATCCGCAACCATGCCATAGCGCTGAACATCGCCATGAAAGGTTTCTCTAAAGTCTCGGGACTTCTCAGTTGACGACCAATCGCCAAGTAGCTCACCGCCACATAGGAGACATCCATCAAATTGTCCAAATCAACCAAAGGCCTCCAATCACTGCCCCGTCTTTCCAATCGTTCACCAAAAAAACCGTTGGCGAAATCTCCTGGGTGAAAGTCGCTCACGCAGCAAACGAGATTGTGCTGCAGTTGGTTCAAGGAGCACTTCCTCCTGGCAAAAGCAAACGTTGTTTCCAGAAGGGAAAACAGCAACAAACTCGCCCGCTTTCACAGGGGAAAAAACAATTCTGTTTGGGAGGGTTTTGGCAACACTTGAAACACTTGCATGGTTTGGGATGCATCTTTAGATTTCAGGTGCCTGGCACCTGGTTTGCAAGGAGGCTTCCCATCTTTTTTAGGCTTCTTATAGGGGCCCCCAATGGCTCGTCATGTGGTCCCCGAAGAACGGTCACATATGATGGATTCTCAGTCTATTTTCACGTTTTCCGTTGACAAGGCAACTGTTGAACCTTGCGGTTCTTTCACTTCTTCGGCGATATGTTCGTTTCTTCGAGCTCGACACTTCTTTCCGACCCACACCGATGGCCCTACCATTGGCTCTCCCAAGTGGACGTTGATGCCTCTCGTGCACATGCCATCCGATCAAATGCCCGACCTCCTTCTGGACATAGTTTTATCAAACAGCTGGAAAACAGTTTTTCATCCTCCGCATCGCCACATTTTCTACCACACAGAACTTCCTCCTCCTTTTGGGTCTCCACCACAGCCATTCAGCTTCACTTGTTCACAACATGCTGGTGCGTCGACCTGACTCTGGCCTCAATGACAAAAACTGTTCACAACATGCTGTCTCATCCTCGTTGCCCAACAGTTTGCGCGCTGCCGAGGGGTACCCTGCGTGGCATCGTGCGCCCAATTACTCGACATCCCCAACCTGTACACCATCCAAGTTGGATCCAAGCCTCACCATGACGACTTTCTCGCCCCTTCGAATGGAACAAATGCGGCGTTGCGGGAGCACCTTTTATGTAATCCCACATCGTGACGGCCTCCATGGCCTTGGAACGCTCTCGACCTGATCTGCTCTGGATCTACGATGCTGCAATTCCCTTTTGCGATATCGTCCGATGTCGGATATCGTGATATCCACGCCAAATCTACGTGGACAAGCGGAGCTTGACTTTTTTGAGACTAGTCAGTCGAGAGCTTATTGAATTTGTCTTGGATCATGTGTGCAAGGTACACCTTGGAGTCGGAGTGCGCGAAGTGGTTTGGAGCCTTGCAAGATACTGTATGTTTTTGACATTTCAGTGGGCACCGAGACTGATTTCCTACCGCCAACGAAGCTACAGAAATCAGTTGGAGGAGAGTTGGGACGAGAACTTTTTATACCTGCGAGATGGCGATTCACAA